TCTCTCTCTCTCTCTCTCTCTCTCTCTCTCTCTCTCTCTCTCTCTCTTCTCGCTCTTCTCTTGACCGTATAGTCGATCTTTCTCCTTCTCTTGTCCCGCTTTGATTGCTAAATCAACGCATTTCCGTGAATGCCGATTGATCCAACGTGAATCCCTTTAGCGACGTACTTCTTGCGCGATGATTGAAATTTGCGCAAAGAAAGCGCGAGCAGGAATTGAATGCATCTACTTTCCAAGTCTTTTCTTTCGCCATAAAGAAGGAAGCCATACGAAAACTCAATCGTGAATCGCAATCTATTCTTTACCCGGTTCGGATTTTTCTAATATATTAAAGCTGAACAAAAAAAATCGTACTAATCACAGTCATTGTAACGTATTGATATTATAATATTCGAAAAATACATTAAAATCCATATTTTTGGAAAACTCTTTGATTCTGTTAAAAGGTAATGAGGTATTAAGCAATTTTTTGCGTGTGTTGTACGAATCATAAATATTCATATGTCATTCTTCCACGAGTCTATTTAAATCTGCTTGTATATTCTTATTTATAAAAGGGTTAAACGTTTTGAAACTGTCGCAGATGTTAACATAGTAGATGCATCCCAATTTCACGGACGCGCCACTGCACTGTTTGTTCCACCGTACAAGATGTACGGCACTATATTTGTTTTTTGAATATAAAGGAATTCTGTTGTGATCCAGAAATTCACGAGACATGCATACGTAATTCTTTCGGTATGCGAGGCTCTCTTGTTTCTCTTCGTAGACAATATTTCAAGAGCAAAGCTGTTTCCATGAAGTTGAAGCTTTATTTCTACGACCGTAGCTCCTACACGGCCAATGCATTATGTTTGTTCGTGAACTAGGCCGTTATTTGCCTCTCTAATAATTAAGGAAACCGCTGTGTAACATATATATATATGGCCACACATTTATTACATTTAAGAATCGATTAAAGAAAAGTATAATTTATAATTTATCACTATATTTATACTTTTTCAGAAGTTATAAGCGGATAAATTTAATTATTTTACAGTCTCAGTCTATAACTTACAATTAGATTCAATTTATAAATTAGTTTATATTCTATCATGTTATGTTTTAACAATACTATTATAAAGTATTCAATTTTTAAATTGCTGTCAAAATATATAAAAGACTTATATTTTCATAAAAATGATTGAAACCTAAAATGTTATATTAATCATTTTTTGTTTTCAGGGAACAACGAAGATGAATACTTCCGCATCCATCCGTTCGATCTTCCAATTGTATGCCAGATAGAAGGCAATTGGCTAAAGGGTGACAGAACTTATACAGATACAACTGGTAAGAGATAGTTTAATAACGGCGCAGCATCACCGAGGGTGCACATGTGCAACTATCGTCTCGGCATACGTGCACACGTGTATACTAGCACATTCTACCATCGAGTATCGTGGACAGGAAGGGCGCCGTAGGGTAGTTTGGGGAGGGGGGGAGGGGCGGATACATAGACGTAACTACGATGCCTGACATCGGGCAATATTGAAGCAATAATCTTGACCCTCCTTGCCGCTCGTCTTCACCTCCACCCTCGCTGGGGGCGGTCTTGCGACGCGTTAGGGCGCTTTGGTACACGAAGATATTAAACTTACGTGCTCTCTCCGTGTATCTGTACGCGTGTAAGAGAAGGGGTACATGCGTCGACGCTCATTCCCTCGGAGTTCGGAGTTGTTTCATCAAGTGATCTCGTGAATTCCTCGCGTCGTTGTTTCTGAAATAAATAAATAGCAAAATCATGTTCTTTTGCAGAAAATAATCGCTAATGCGTCACGGGTAGAAAATGTGACATGTATCCGTTTCTTTCTCTCAGGGAGTATCTTTATAAAATGTAGAATTTTCTTTACGTAAATACTTTAATATTAATAGACAGAAAACGAAATTTTGATTGAAAATGACATTTCCTTGAGCGTGTATAGTTAAATTGTATGTTTTTGACGCTATCTAAATGGATTCTAGCAAAATATCATCCCATTCACCAGCTCGCTCGCAATGTCGATGACGTAAAGTGCGCTTGTGCAAAGCCACGGCACTAGATTTCGGCGTTAAGCGCTTCTCGGTGTTAACAGGGACTGATACAAGACGACGCCGGTGCTATTCGCACACTGTTCCTAGACGATCGTTGTGTATATAAACTTTACACAGGAGAAAATAATTTACCAATCATGCTGATGTATTCAAATGAGATTCAAATTCCCTTCAATATTCAGCGCGCGCTGTTTTACTTTCAAAACGATAAGCTTCTCTCACTGTTGGCGGCTGTTATCGCTCGATATGCGTCCTACATGCTCTGCTCCACCTTCTATTATTCATTTTCCTTTGTGCCGCGACCTTCTTGCACCAACGCGCGTTTGCCGAACGTCGTTCTTCTCGCGCCGTTATATCGAACTACCGCACCAGCAGCAGCAAGTTTCTTCGTTTGAAAACTCGATACAATGGCACGTCGCGCCCGCCGTGGCGGGCGCGGCGCGCTTCGTATTGCCGCTTATGAAATAAATCAGGCGGTCCATATCGCATTTCGCCCAACTTTAAAATGTGCATCGTGGCGCGCGACACTTTATGATATTGCCTCTCCACTGACTGTATAAATTTTCCAAACTGTCATCATTTTCGAAAATTGTGTCGCGCAGCGTGCTCGGGGTATCCGTGTCATGAAAATTACACTTTTATAACATAATTCGCCGTTAATTGTTTCGTCGATTTGAGCATGTACAACAAATTGGTCTTTCGTGTAACACACGAACGAAATGGAACTAAAAATCTTTCCCTCTCTCGCGCGTGCGCGCGAAATCGTATTTCGGACGCAATGAATTGTAGAAACGCACGGACGACCATCGATTGATTTTGCAGGTGCCCTGAAAACATGTTATTTCGGGCGAAATGGCATGTAGATCTTTCCGTTGAGGAGGATACCCGTTGGATGGGTCGGACCGTAATGATCTTCGGCTTGGAGCCGACTGAAAATTCATGACATCGATATTCGCGGTTTTGCATGCGGAATCAGGCGCATTTGGCCGAGGCGCAAAGCCCTCGTGAAAAGGAGGACGGCGAGAAACGTAGGAAATGCGGGGTGAAGAAAATCGGTAACGATTCCCGCAAAATTATTCGCAAGCGACGCGACGCCCGGGCGAGCGGGGCCGCCAAAAATTGCATTCCGCGGGCGATGCGACCGTTCCAAAAACTTCCCGACGAGTGTTTGCGTTATCTTATACGGCGCAAGATGCGAACGCCAACCACGTATACCTTTAGGAAACGCGGAACCCGTCAGGTTTGGCAACTTTATTTGACCTTAAATTCTCGGCCCACTTGGCCGCTGCGCTTGTATACCACCGGTTTACCATGCCAACTGCGAGGAAATTTCCACCCCGCCGAACGCGACGATGCGCACGGAAATACGAAAACAGCCACTTGTTCTCCTTAGCGGAACAACTAATCACCAAAAACCTACACGGGGATTTCGCGAACAATACTGCGAACTACACGCAGAAAATTTTTCTCGTAAATACAAGTATACACGAACAAAGTAAATACCATACTAATCTTGCACGGCTAGGATATATTCATAATATGCAAAAGATTTCAAGAAAGTATAGGAAAATTTAGAGAGCAAAAAATAAAACTATACGCAGAAGTAAATATTTCCATCAAGTATGGGACTTTCGAGAGCGCGTTTTAACTACGTTAATTTAAAGACGAATGATTCAATTATATTTTGTCCGATTGTGTCTTATCCCGAATATCGCTGATGAACAAAAAACGAGACGTCTGTTGCAGTCATGTCAAAAGACATAAGTTCAATAAGTTGCCGTTATAGGCTGTGGCGGTCAGCTGTCCGCCACGTGCGAACTTAAGAACGCTATAGGGACCCTGTCGAGCTGCCCTAGATATAAAGGTCGATGTTGAATTTTAATCACGCGAGAATGTACCGGCGATACGCCGCGTAGCGGGCGCGAGGCGAATCCTCTCGCCGCGCGAGCCCACGTTGCCGCTCGCGCCGCGCGCCTTCCGTCGTCCACGATCGCGGTTACTATCGCATTTCTATAAAGAACATAAATTATTGCCAGATACGCAACGAATATTTCTATACAGTTCACAATAGGTACCATTCTAGATTATATTTTTCCTATACTGTCTTAAAAAACAACGCTCAATCCAAGACATGTGAAGTTGGCAATTCAAGCTACAACGTCGAATATACACATACTAGTATGGGACTTTTTTTACTGTTCTCATATTTCCTTGTTAGTATGGCAAATTTATTTACCTTTAGGTTACAAGATGTATCTGATCAAACTATTACATTTCTATTGTCATATATTAATTTCCGGTTGAATACGCGTATATCTTACCGGAACCTAGCAAATCTAGTAAATTTTATTATGAGTATTCTACATTATTCGAGAAAAATTTTCTGCGTGTAAGAACGAAGAAATAAGATAAATTTTCGTTCGTATATATACGTGAATTCTCGTACAGAAAATGTTCCGTTGCAATCGATAACGCTTCTACGATTGATGAGGAAGAAGTTTCAAGAAAGTTTTCAAATTACCTACATTTTGAAATTTAATTACGTCACTTTATACGAGCATATATGTGTATTTTCAATCAAGTAAAAACGATGATTATCGTTGATAAAATTTTGCAATTAAATTGCTCATTATATGTGTGAGCATATAGGAAATTATAGATTTAATCTTGCACATATCGATGCACCGCGAACAAATCGCGCGTGCTGAAATTTGTCGAAACAAATGATGGTTCTTTCGTTCTATATAGAATGTCGATCTTTTTTCTTGCCGACCGACTCGTTGGCAGATGTGATATCAATTTCTATTATCATTTCCCGTCCCGTACAGTCGCGCAACTCGATTACTCGAGTAGGAAATTTCTGGCAGGCTGGAATTCAGCGAACCGCATGACCCACATGCGCGGAGGAAAGGATTTCAGGAATGTGTGAGTGATCACCGTGCGCCGAAGGAATATATTGGAAGTGACTACCTTGATTTCTCCGGGATGTCACGAAGATTACCCTATCTGCTTTCGTGAACCGTCGAATTTCTCTCAGACAATTCGCCAAATAAAATCCAATCTTGTCGACGCGCGCGGCCATGACCGTGTAAGACATGAATAAAACACGAGAGCGCATAAAATCTAGAAGACAATAGCGATGCAAGCTCGCGCACGACGTGAAATAAGTTTTTGATTTGCAAGCTCTGGAGGCTTTAAGAATTCAATGCGATCAAGTGTCAGTTTTAATATCATTTAATTCCAGTTAGAAAAGATGACAATGATGTAATAAAATTGCAGAAAAATTAATGGACATTTATAAATCATAAAAAATATATTTAATTATATAGATATCTACAAATATTTAACACTCATATAAGCGACAGTGAAGCAAAAGATCGGCACTTAATATTATATAACAATATATAATATTATAATATTAATATAATTTAATATTATATAACAATTACATTTATTTCTTTGTTTTGGTTTGAGTTTAACTCTGAGGTTATATGTATTACTATTTTCATGCATTATACATATATATAATTCGATTACTCGCCCAAAACTTTAATGAGCTGACGGAAATACCGGTTTGCGTTGTGGCAAAATGCGTGATAAAAAATTACTCCAAGAACTCACGAATGATCACCGCCGGCGATCGTATATATAAAAATATACGAAATCGATTGCTATGATTTCCCACGTGTCACCGGCTCGATTTTCTGCTCGCTTCCACGCTGCGTCAGAATGTCGAACTTCATTCGCCGCTCAATTCCACCCTCGTCTTCCCTCCGTCGGAATTGTATCGCATTTGCGATCGAACGCAGGAGGTAGAAGGTAGGAAAAGCGGCAGGGGAAGTCTTCGGAGTTGAAGGAAGGAGGTCGCTATCGAGAAGGTAGATAATACGACGATGGACCCTTTTCGTTCACCTTCATTTTTCGGGTAGAGAGCGGATGCGCGGAGGGAAGTTGAATCCGCGACGAAATTCTCGGAGCTTCGACTCGATGGTAATCTGGTCACATACAAGCGTAAGGGTGTCAAAAAGGGAGAAGAAGAAGCAATGGACAGACTTTTAAGAGACGGCGAGCGAGAATCGGCAGAGAGTCTTTCTTCACCGGATCAATCGCATCGTAGTTCGAGATCTCATTAGACTTGCTCTGTAGAATACAACTTTTTTTGTCCATTATATCGATCACAAAAGACTCGAAAAGAGCACTGTTCCGTCTTGAGGAGATTTGCTGCTTCTTTTTTGCCATCACGATCAACCGTCTTGAAAATTAAATTAGATCGCCGCGCTTTCTTTCTTTTTTTTCGTCGCGATATGCATCGCGTGCATGGAATATTATTAAAATAATAATATCTTTATCATGATACAATTATTTATTTGGCGTAAACGAAGGATTTAATAAGGGTTGACTTTAATAATTTATTATTTCAGATTACCAACGGTTAATTTGTTTAACTAATCCTGAGATATGTTTGTCACAAATAGCTGTTGCTTCTATCTAAAAATACATTAGTATGTCTTGTCTTTTGTAAAAGCTATTGTATTATAATTATTTAAAAAAGACCAAGGTTAAAGCAATTTGTCATGATTGAAGATTCTCGATTTACGATGCGGAGTTCTCTTTCTATCGCGCGACGACCTTCCATCCCTTCGCTACTATAGTCAGGCAACCACTGAAACACACTTCAAGGGACGA